GCATAAATGCTCATATTTTAGTAAAAACGTGAGAATCTGGTAGTAGATATCCCTATGAACAACACCTTCAGATACGGTAATAATTGAAAAGAAAGATCAAAGATCTTTTTGGTTCACTTAGTTTCAATTTAATTGAAGTTCTGGTTGAAACATACCTGATATTATGTAATTTCAATACTAAAACAATAACAATACTTGGCGGCATGCACCATTAATATCTATATCTATATAAGAATAAAAATACTTGCCAACAAATTTCTGAATTTTCATAATTTTTCATTCACATCGGTACTTTTACCAACATTCCTATCATCCCAATGCCACAACACTTTCTGAATTTTCATAATTTTTCATTCACATCAGTACTTTTACCAACATTCCTACCATCCCAATGCCACAACACATTCACTACTGATCATTTCCTAAGGCAACCCGAAATTGGAATACATTTATGTACAAATAATAACAGTCGCATGCCTAAAAGTGTGTTCTATGAGGAGATAAACATTAAAACCAACTATTTTAAGAGACTAGAAAGGCAAAGGAGAAGAGCGATACAAAACCAGAGACCAAAAACTGTTACATAGCAACAGATCCATCACTCTGCTGCCTTACTCTCAGAGTCAAATATATCAATATCAAGGTTCCCAAGCTTGATCTGTAATTAAACAAAAAGGGAATTAAAACAAATCTGATATTAAAGAATCATTATTGCTAGTGTTACTTTTGGGTTTATTTATTTAAAAAAATAGAGCGGCATTAATATCCTATGTATGAAACAGTTTTGGCAGTGCTAAAACTGGATCCTGTCGTTCTGCCTGGATGAAAGTCGATATAAAAAAAATCATTATTTTCTGGAAAAAAGATAAAGAAAAAGAAAAAGAAGAAAAGAAAAAAAGGAAAATATTCTGAAGTGCTAAAAAACAATTTACAGAACTTATCAAGAGATTTAAGAATATTTAAAAGTACTCTTAAATATTTAATATTTAAAGGCACTTTCTTCAAAGGGTCAGTAGAGTTAACAGCTGGGATGTGTAATAGGAAGCGAAAATTATTTGACGAAGTTATTGAAAGGACATGTTCAAATCATAAAATGCAAAGGATCTATAGCAAATAGCACTAAGGTAAAAGCCACTTATGTTCTGAAATTTCCAAAGATGAACTGTATTCTTTTGTAATGGTGTGCATCTACTTAAAAGGCCCAAAATTATACTCAGTATTGGGACTGGGTTTAGATTAAAAAGAATTGAGACTCGGGTACTTACAATACTGAGAAGAGAATAACTATCTTTCTTGAATCAAATGAAGCGGCACGTTTATATTTTCTCCACCTGTTGTTTGGCGTATCATGAACCCTCTCGGTCCCTGATTTTTCTGTTAAATCAAACACAAGAAATAAAAGTTCAGAATTAAGTGGTAAACATTCAAGACATCATCAAGTTTGCCATCTCTTGCTGCTCTTGCACTGGTGCAATTTCGGTCTCCTTTTTCAATTTTAATATATTGAACAATCATCTAAGCATACTACATTTGGTTGACAAAATAGTTCATAGGTAATAGATTTTAAGTAGGTAGAAGGTGGCTTGAACTCATCTCCTCTAAGTCATATTATTGTTTACATGACATATTCAGGCAAGCTTCTTATGGTAGTTAGTTTCATGGGACAGATATTAATGGGGAAAATAAAGATCGTGATTACAATTAAATTTATGGAAGGAGACAACTCTTGCAAACAATCAAGTGTTTGGATTCACAAAGCCAGGGGATAAAATCAAAGTCAGAAGAGACATGTCTATTGTTCAATGGATAGGCATAGGTACACCACAAAAGAAGAAAATATAAATCCTGAATATCCTTGAGGTTAAGACCTCAGGCAATGGTCCAACCTGTCAAAATATTAAATGTCTTATAAGGTTCTTGAACCTAGGTGTTCCCGAGTTAGGCACTTGTCACTTAGACAATTGGGATAAGTCATGATGTACAGAAACTAGCCCCAACCACCAAGATAATTTTTACAAAGAAAACAAAGAAAGTTTTTACCCTGGTGAAGGATAGATAATCATACCTTTGGACGAGAACTTCAGTAACATTAGTCCATGGTCTAACAAATAATGCACAAGTTTCACACCCATTTTAAGGCTGGACTGTCTCTGCAATACCTTCTCTATTCGCTGTAAGAGATGAAATAGTACGTCACAATACAGAAGATCACAAGAAAAACCATTTCAGTGTGTAACTATTAACTCATACACGTGTGGCAAGTTGATTTCTGCCCACACTATTATTAATTTATTTTAGGATCATGCATCCATCTTTGGTCTTCCTTTGAGTTCTTTTTTGTTTTTAAGGAGACCCCAACTCTACAACATGTGTAAATAAATGTGTTCACTTACCAATAATGTATTTTCAGTTTTCAAACTTTCAAAAGTTCCTTCACATGATTTAGGCGTTTTGAGCTTGTCCTTGTCAATATCAATATTTACTATGCACGAGGAATAAGCATCTCCACCATTCACATGTATGTCAATAACGTTCTGGCAAGTCAAGCTGGCATCTGAAGTTGCCAATGACATCTTACTATTTGTTGGATGGGTAACTTCCAGGAAGCTGAGAAAAGCTAAATGTGGATCACAATCTGGACTGTTGTCGAGTTCCTCGGTACTTAAAAAGCCAGAGGAATCACGGGCCTGAACAAATGAAAATTATTTAAAAGAAATTCTCAAGATATATATAGAACTGTTAAAAAATAAAAATTAGTACAGTGTGAATCTTCAACTGCAGTAAATTTCTTCCCAATAAGAAAAAAAATAAACAAAAAGGCAAAAAGTTACAGAGTCGAGAATTATTTCAAATGCCAAATAGGAAAAAGAGAACGATACAACAAATAAATAGGATTTGTTACAAAACAATTCTTTTTATTAGAATAAAAAAAATTCAAAAAAACCTTTATATTTATTAGTTGTAATACAAACAAATTCAATGGAAATAGACTACACGGACAAATACGGGGCGAAGCCAATTATGTTCGAATAGGAGAATAATCTGATTGGTACTAATGGTTATGGGCAATGGAATACAACAAAAGTAGGAGAATTGCCTGTTAGTTGTAAGGGAATTTTGTGGGTGGGTTGATTTCTTTTTGCTTTTTACAGAAAAAAAAAAACTAAGAAAAATATTCGACCATAATTAACTATTATAAAAGTAACCAACATTGCTTTAGAAAATAAAAGGTAACCAACATGGTAAAATTAGATAATAATTACATGAAATTAAAGTTAGCTAGTCAGTGATTTGATGTATAATTGACTAATAATCGTTTAGCTAAAAATCGAAATGTATTATTTCCTAGTTTCGTTCAGATAAAAAAAAAATTCATATCGGCTACTATCATAAAATTCTTAAATAAATACATCTGCCTAATTGTAGTCTTCTGCATATAGCAATGGTCTCAGCGCCATGTCCAAAAGAAGAAAAATTTGAGCTCCATCAAGTCATTACCACTAATAGAGAGAAAGAAGACCAAAATATAGTGGAAAATCAATGAACCATAAAAATCAAACTTACCAAAGAATCTTGAGAGGGGAACGAAGCCTTATCAAAGAGACTTGGCAAAATTTCTGAACGGCGATAACAATTATTTATCAGTAACATGCAACTGGAAGTCTAAAACTACCGGTTACTGAACAAACAAAATGTAATTAATAAAAATACCTAAAGAACTATGGCGCTCCGTCTCGTCGAATCTAGTAACTTTCGCAAGTTTTTCTTGAACGTGAACTCCATTTGATAGAGCTGCAGCCTGGAAAGAGACGCAAAAGGTAAATGCATTATCAAAAGCGGTTGCTAAATCAAAATGCATACATAGATTACAGACTTACAAGACTTAAACGAAAACGAATCTCCAGATTCTCATTTCGAATCAAACAAAAGAAATAAGTGAAGTACGATCGGAGAAACCAAATTAACGAGCCTTAAACTTTAGTGCTAATTGGAACTTGCGACTAAAATCTACGGGAAATACCAATTACCTGACAGTGATTAACAGCCATTGCTGCGAAGGTAGAGATTGAGTCCCCCGCTGTGGCCTCGGCCAATTAAAAAGCCATTGAAAACTCAAATGAACCAGAGAGAAAAGGGTTATAGATATATAGACGTTACATCGGAATCGGGAGTCGGAGCGCTTTTTTTTTTTTTCTTTTCATTTTTGTTTCTAATAAAAATAATTAATTAATTTTTCTTTTCATTCTGATTGGCGGATTTGGCAAGACAGCCACTGCTGGCGACGGCGACAACCACGACGGCCCATTCTTTTTTTTTATTTGACCAAAATGCCCTTTCAGCATTATTTAACAAACGGTGCTGTTTTGCTTATAACATTTCTTTTAAACTGTGTGCTAATTATTAAATAATAATTAAATGTTTTTTTTAAAAAAAAAGAAAGCTACAAAATGGTTGGGTTGTCTAATTATCATGGTATTAAAAACGAATAAAACAATATTGAATTGTTTTTAGATTTACACGTTGTTTTTGTTTTTTTTTTCAAATTTATTATTATTGGGTTTGAAAAATATAAGAATGTTTCTTGTTTAAAATTTGTCGCGAATGGTAATTAAAAAAAAGTATACAGAATTTAGATTTTTTTTTTCTATTTCAAAGATTGCCAAAAGTCAAATAAATTGTCTTTTGTTTTTTTTTTAATTTAAAAAAAATAGATAAAAGTTATTACTTCATGCTTTTGACTTATTAAATGAATGAGTCAAATACTGTAATACCAAAAATTACAAATTATTTGGAATGATATAAAATTTTATTAATAAAAAAAGTTGAGATAAAAAATTATATTATTAATTGAAATTATATTTTGTTTTGTTTTTTTTTTTTCTTCCAAAACAATACTAATAAATGGAACCAATAATTTAGTTCTTTGACTTATTAAAAAAACAAAATTTAAATAAAACCATAATTAATTAAGATATTTAATAAGAAAAATTAGAAGACTAATATTATAATAGAAAATTAGAAAAGAAAGGGCGTGGGTGCACAGGAAGATCGGGCGACAAGTTTTCCCGTGAGATGGAAATAGGGAATAAAGTAGAAGGGGGCATTTTTGGGATTTCACCTAGCTTTTTTAAACAAACAAATCAACGCTCACGGGTTGCCAAACTGTTTCAGGCGTCTCCTAACCTAACCTAGCCAACCTCTCTCCAAACCTAACCTCCCTCCGAACCTAATCTCACGGTCACCGGATTTTATTTCTCCAAGCCTAACCTTTCTCCGAACCTAAGCTCACGGGCACCCGATTTTATTATTATTTTTCTTTTTTAGACCGACAATTTTATTTACAGCCACGAAGAAGGTTTGATTAGGTTTACCTTGATTTATTCATATCATTTATTCAAATTTTTATTATTTTTATTTTTAATAAAAGTAAAAAGTTAATGTAAATTTAATTTTTTTTAAAAATCTTAATTAATTTGATAAATTTAATAATTTTAAATTGAAGTTTTTACTCAGGTATTAAATAGATAAGTTAGATGCATAAATACAACTTGGTTAGTTCCACATGTTTCTCAACATAAAAAGGAGACGAGACTTCCTACGAGACCTATTGCACAATTTTCACTTCATTTTTCTTCATATGTATGCATCATTATTTTTTTCTACCAATCTTTAACAAAAGCTAGCATACATCTTTTCGTAAGCATTCACATCAATATCATATAAAATCATTGCAAGAGTTCATCTTTTTCATTAAACATTTCATAAGCGGCATGGCTAAGTACATACATTGGTGGTTGCCCGGAATCTGTGAGTTTTGACAATCACAAGAAAGTAAGGCGGCAGACAATTGTACGGAAAAAGGGCAGTACACACAGCTGCTGCTGCAGACAATTGCCATTTGCATTCAGTTTTCTTCATTTATGTAACTAATAAAGCAAAAGTGTAGCCATTGACAGTTGCTGCAGCAGCTTTGGTGCCAACAATGCTTCAAAATAGGGCACAAACTCAGAAGTGGCTATTTTAAGTCAGCCATTTTGACATTGTTTTATTGTTTTATGAAAGGAGGTCGGTCTACATTGGTCGGGAGAGAGCCACTAAACAAAGGCAGGCTGACGGGGGAGGCTGCGGCTAAACAATTTTGATTAAATCGTTAAGAATCACAACCATAATGCTTTTTGTAAATGACTTAACTCTCTCGGAGTAATATAAACTTTAACTACAGATTCAGTTCATTATGAACTAACGTATCATTTTTCTCTTACACCAAAGATGGTGAGTTTTCTTCGTCTTCCTTTCAATTCTTCACCACAAGCTATAATTAAAGTCTCTCGTACCAACAGCTTAGCATAATTATTCAGTTGGTTCTACAGACACTCAAAACCATGGCTTTAGATGTCAGTTCGTGCCAAAATCTAGATTAACGGACGAATGTACTCGTTATCATTAAACACAACTGAAACCTAAGACACTACATCAGTAAATTTTAAAAATCATTAAGCACAAAATTGAACATTCAAGAACTATTAGGAATTCAAGGACACAAAAGCAGAACTTCAAGACTAAGCTTGTAAGTTTGTTGTTTACATCAAAAGGGATGCAATTTTACTAAGATTCTATCCAGGAGAAAACAACCCTGTAGATTTTATCCATTCCAGTAATAGTGTTGCAATTATTTTGATAAAGAGCTCAATTAATTGTAAATTCAAACCCACGATTGAAAAAAAAAAAAAAAAAAACCATTAACGGGCTGCAATTTCATGGACACGAAACATATTCTTTGTTCGAGGAAACTGAGATAAACTTAGGTAAAATTACATCAACAACTATTCACACTCGTGGATTTGCAATGAGAAATTTCATACATTCTTGTATCAGAATCATACTACGAAGCAGAATCAGAATAGTCTTTCCTCTAAAGCAGCAGTCATAAAACATCATACATTGCTCTCTTTTCACTTATTTGAAGGGGAAAAGAAAAGCTGCCGCCGAACACTATGTATGCCAAACTGGCAACCGACCATGTATACATTTTTCAGTCCATAACAACAATAATATTTCACATCTCTTCCCAATGGTTATATAAAAAGGCATAAGGGGGGGAAAAAGAAAGGGAAAAAAAAGTAATAATAACATTAATAAACATGCAAAGCCAAAAAAGCGAGTCACAAATTACCCGACAGCCGATGAAATGGGAATTCCCTATATATCAGCTCTTGTTGCCGGCGCCAATACTCTCGTAGAATAGGATGTACCCATGATCAGTATTGCTAGAATATTCTTGTGCAGATCCAAAGAATGTCTGCACAACAGACTCGTCAATCATTTCCACATTTTCGTCATCAAAAAATAACCAGTGGTTATGGCTTTTCACAAGGCTAACGTAGTGTCCGTGGTTGGGTCCACTTCCAACATGGACCACGACAGCAAACAAAGAGTACTCAGAATCCGCATCCTCCATTGTGTTGCTAAGCTTCAGCTCGAGAGGGAAAACAACTCTATACAACAGCTTTTTATAGCGCCCAAGCTGCTCAATGTATTTAAACCGCTTCAGGTGAATAACAAGGATATGAGGTGGTTTCTTAATCTTCATCCTCTTCTGTGCTTCTTGCAAACTGCACACCAAAATGAGCCCATCTTTCAGCATTCCCTTTTTGGTTTTTATTACTTAATTTTAATTTGTTGTGGGTTGGAAATAATTGTGGAACTGGTTTTCCAATTCCATCCAGAACCGTGGGGGGTTAAAGATACTGACTACACTATTATTCACGATCAATATCTACACATGGATCCACGCACACAAACCACTGGTATGGGACATGACGAATCATTAAATTCCATTCCAGTTCCAACTATTAACATGAGATTATGCTTGCTACTTGGAAGATGGTGGGGACAAAACAAAATAAGAATAAGGCTGATTTCTCAAGAAATAAAAACAATAATAAAAAAAAATTCAGCAACCCAACTAAAGCCAGTTTGAAATGACTTTCCAAGTGCTTAAAAGGAGGTTTTTAAGTATTAAAAAGTGTTTTTAAGCACTTGACTTCAATTTCGTAGCTTGGCTAAGATCAAATAGGCAGCACACTTGGCTACTTCCAAAATTGCCTCCATAAAGTACATGATATAAATTACAATTCCTAAAGCAACTAAAAAAGCATCTGGCGGCAAAACAGAATCATGTATAGCAACCTACCTGCAGCACTTGTCGCAGAAAAACTTGTCCTCGGCATTCAATGTCTCAGTGGAACTGAAATTTTTTAAGCAGCTAGTTATTGAACTGTTCTGTTCAATATCAAGGCTCAAGTCAAGAAAAGTTTCATCCCTTGCTGTAACCGTCTCACACCGCAAGCACCTTGTCTCGTTGGTTAGTAAGCCCTGAAAAACAGAATTGCAAGTAACTCTGGCTGCAATTAGAAGTTTTTCATGCATATAACATCGTTACTTCTAAGGCTTGCATACTAATTTGGCATGGTGTGCAAAATAGAGTTCTATTGGAGATGGCCAGGTCTCTGTATTCAAGATCAAGTCTTTAATAGAGTTTGAGGCTTGCGTCAAGAGTATTGATCTTGTCCACATTCCAATAGGCTGTTCCATATTTTGGTCGTAAAGTCTTTCATATGACTTATATTTTCTAAAGTGCATCTATTATTAGAAATATCCAGATGGTCGAGTGAACCTGTAAGCAGAGGCTTCTAATTCTCTTGAAGGTCAAAACAAAGTTAGTAATCTTTTTATATTTCCTAAGGGAGGAGTGGGGCCCGAGAGAGAGTGGCAGGGTCATACTAGAAGGCCTGTCAGTTCATTAAAAAAAAACCACGAAAACATGAGTGAGTAATACTTATGAATATATCCAAATAAAGAGCTGCTTTTAACATACTTTTGATGTACTAACTAGCAAGTGAAAGCATGCACACACAGACACAGGAAGGCTGAAATAACATTCATCTAATTAGTATTTCTCACCAACAATATGCATATTCCATGCCCTATAGTCGAGCAGAAAAGAAAATAAAAAGTTGGATAAGGAGCATGTCATCAAAATGGCTAGCTAAATCACCTGAAAATTTTTATGCACCCAAGTCACCAACGGCTCTTTTTGAGAACCATTTGCCTGGCCAGTCTTAGGACCATTTGCAATTTTTTCAGACGGAGACGAAC